CGTGTATATAGGAAGCTTCCATTCATTGACAGAGAGAATTCTGTGCCTATCAGGACTATGCGTGTTTCTGAGCTGCGGCAGCAGGCCCACAGCACCCCCACCTGCCCTTCCCGGTCCCGCTGTGCCCACCGCTGCCCCTGGAGCTGGTCAGAGTGTGAGCCCACACCTCTCAGCCCCGCTCCCTTCCTCTGCATCTGTCTCCCTCTTCCACCTTCCCAGACCAGCCACATGTGTGAGGTTCAGTTTTCTTGTAGACATCTTTAAAAAGTTTCCAAGAAAGGTGAATTCCAATTAGCATAACATGTTATTTAACCCAACTCATCCGAAATATTTTCATCTCATCGTGTAATAAAACATTACATGTTTGGATTATGTGCAGGGTATTCTGAAGCTCCAACACTTTGGCCACCTGATGCAAAGAGTCAGCTCACTAGAAAAGACGTTGATGCTGGGAAAGATTGAGGGCAAGACGGGAAGGGGACAGCAGAGGATGAGATGGTTGGATGGCATCAGCGGCTCAATAAAACACGAGTTTGAGCAAACTCTGGAAGATAGTGAAAGACAGGGAGGCCTGGCATGCTGCAGTCCATGAGGTTGCAAAGAGACCCAACTTAGCGACTGAACAACAACAATAACAGGGTATTTTGCAAATTTTTTTTAATGTAAGCTTTTGAAATCCAAGGTATAGTTTACAATCTCCAGCCATCAGTTTGAACTAGCTAAATGTCAAGTTCCCCAAAGCCTCAAGTGACTTGTGGCTGTTGTAGTAGATAAGCATCTCTAGTCTATTTGATTGGCTGTTACGGATTGAATGTTTGTGTCTCTCTAAATTCACATGTCGAAGTCCTAACCCTGTTATTGTTAATTAGCCGCTCGGTCCCGTCCGACTCTCTGTGGCCCCATGGACTTGTAGTCCTGCAAGGCTCCTCTGTCCTTGGACTTTCCCAGGCAAGAATTCTGTAGTGGGTTGCCATATCCTTTCTCCAGGGCATCATCCCAGACCAGAGATTAAACGTACATTCAAACTTACACTTATGTAGCCTGCACTTATGTTTAGAAAGGATCATGAGGGTGGAGCACCATGACGAGATTAGTGCCCTTACTAGAAAAGACACCAGAGACATTTGTGCGTCCTCTCTCTGTGTCTCCCTCTCTCCCACGTGGGGACCTGGTGAGAAGGCAGCTGTGTGCAGGCCAGGAAGAAAGTTCTCCCGAGAACCCACCCAGGCTGGTACCCTGATCTCGGGCTCCCAGCCTCCAGAACCATGAGAAACAGATGTGTGTTTCCTAAGCCAGCCAGCCTGTGCTGTTCTGCTAGGGCAGCCAGAGCAGACTGAGGTGCTGCTACAGGACGAAACCTCCCACAACCGGCCCGTAAAACAGGCCTGTCGCTGGAGGGCTGGGGCAGAAGCAGCAGGTGTGATGGGGAGCTGGGCTGAGGCTCCTGGAGCCCCGGCCTCCCCAGACTCCACCAGAAGCCGCTGCTCAGAGAACCGGTCCCAGCTTCTCAGTTCATGAGGCTCGCCGTTCAGGGGGGCAGACGGGAGAATCACTGCCCTTTTTTGCTATGATGCCTTGTTTTACTGTCTAACCCCACTGCATGTTTGGGGAGAAAGCGACAAGAGAGCCACAAAGAAGTAATTGAGAGATGGAAACGGGAACTGAGGAATCCAGGCAGAAACACGATCATGCCTGGATCAGGCAGAAGGAACCTGCTGCTTCTGCTACTACCTGCTACTGACAACCTAGCAGGGTAGATGGTTTTGCTGTTGAAAGATCATCTACCGATACAAGCAAGAACCATATCCAAGGTGAAGATCGTTCTGGTGTCTGAGGCTGTACTGGGGGGCTTCTCCTCTCCCAGTTGTTTCAAGCTGTGCCTGGGTCCACATATTGGTTTGTTCCATGTGTTTTCACATGCTACCTTTTTCTACTGATAAAACATAAAAGAATAAAGAAAAAAATAAAGGTGCAAGGTCTTGGAAGCGTGTTTAAAACTAATTGCTCAGTTCTAACCTCAGTGACCAAAGAGACCTAAGAGATCCAACCAGTCCATCCTAAAGGAGATCAACCCTGAATATTTGATGGAAGGACTGATGCTGAAGCTGAAACTCCAATCCTGTGGCCACCTGATGTGAAGAGCCAACTCTCTGGAAAAGACCCTGATGCTGGGAAAGACTGAAGGCAGGAGGAGAAGAGGACGACAGGGTGAGATGTTTGGATGGCATTACCAATGCGATGGACATGAGTTTGAGCAAGCTCCGGGAGCTGGTGATGGACAGGGAGGCCTGGCGTGCTGTGGTTCATGGGGTCACAAAGAGTCGGACACAACTGAGCGACTGAACAACAACAATTTAACAAATCTAAGTGACAGAAAAGTCCCAAACTTCCTCAGGGTCAGGATTTTGAGAGTACAAAGGGAAATCTATAGAATTAAGAAAGAAAAGAAAAAAAATTGCCTCAAGTTATCACCAGGGGTTCCTACGGGCAAGTTAAGGCATATCAAGGGACTCCCATGCTTCAGAGCCATAAAAATGTTAGAAAATGATTAGCCAAAAGGATTAGAAATGCCTGGCAAGGTCAAGGTACCAGGAAAAGTCCTTACGTAAAAAATAGGACACTGGGATTAGTCCGAGCACAATCTGAAATATCTAACACTCACAGATGGCATGGGAGGTGGTGAACTTGGCAATGGCATTGGAGTGAAACGTGGAACCAGGCTCACCCCTAACACCCTGATAAGACTTAAACCGGCTCTGAGTCTGTGGGGGGAGTACGCATAAGCCTCTCTGAACAGAGCAGACAAGAGTAAGTTTAGAAGAAGGAAAAACTATTATGAACTGTGGGAAAGGCCTCCTGGAGAAATAACCAGCTGTGAAGCAGGGACAGCCCTGCTGATCTGAGAGCAGGCCAGGAGCAGCTGCCAAGAGGCTAAAGCCCAGGAAAATAATCGGCCACAGGGTCAGGGTGAGGCTAGAGGAGAAAGTCCAGGTCTCTGGAGGCCGCGCGGTCATGGAACAGTGCTGTTCAAGAAAAGCAGGTCTGGACGACCGCCTGCCCCCAGAGGTCCATCCAGCAGCGATCCAGCCAACTGCACAGACTCGGCCTGGAGGTCTGGCTCCATGACCTGATGTGTGCTCACCGCCCTGGGACCGGCTGACCCCCATGGCACAGGGAGCGCGTCCGGCTACCCCCTCCCCTCCTTCCCACACCTCCTTTGGAGGCGTCCTCTCTCTGTCTGAGGACACACGGCCTCTGGGGGCTTCCGGGCTGACTCCAGGCCTTCTCTCCCACTCCATCTGCTCCCGGGTCCAGCCTCGCCACTCTGCCTATCCCTAAAGAACCCCTCAGGAGCCGTCCTTCCCGGGAGGCAGGAGTCGTGCTTTCTCATGGGGACCTTTCAGAGACAGTACTCTTTAATCCAGAGGGTGGTCCCTGACACTGTGCATTTCAGACATGGAACAGGCCCAGAGGAAGAGTCTCTCTCAGAATGAGGAGGCTCCTTGGGTTCTTGTAAGCCACAGTTTAAGACTGGTCCCGCCTAGAGTACAGTTGAGTAAAGCCTTCGGACAATTTGTGTTGAGAAATATTCATGTCAATTTCATGGAATATTTCACCTTAAACTTCTGTTTGTATCATAATTACTTTTTACTGATTACAAAAGTAATGCAACAGCATTGTTCAAAATTTTATCGTGGAAGTGTTTAAATTCACCTCTAAGAGGAACTTCCTTGGTGGTCCAGTGGTTAAGACTCTGAGCTTCCAACGCAGGGGAAAGGGTTCCAAGATCCCACATACTGAGTGGCACAACCAAGAAAAAAAAAATCATCTTCAAGAAATACAGCCTCAGTTTACATCAGTATTCTTCTAGCTCTTTGTCTGCATAGGTGTGTGCACACACATATATACACACACACATTTATAGATCACACATATATAGAGACAGACGTATATACAGTTATGTAATGTATAATTGCAATAGAACTTCCCTGGGATTCAGCAGTAAAGAATCCACTTGCAGAAGAATCCGGTAAAGAATCTCCCAGGATATCTGGGTTCAATACTTGGGTTGGGAAGGTCCCATGGAGAAGGGCATGGCAACCCACTCCAGTATTCTTGCCTGGAGAATCCCATGGACAGAGGAGCCTTGTGGGCTACAGTCCCTGGGGTTGCAGAGAGTCAGACAGGACTGAAGCAACTTAGCACACGCATGCATAATTACAATGAGGAAACTATTCCAAGCTCCAATTTTCCAGGCCACCGTTTGGTTTTCCTTTCCTACCTCAATGCAGTGCAGCTTCACACCTGTGCTGGAGACAGAGGACGGGCGGGGACCGTGGGGGACACACGTCCTGCTGCTGCCCAAGGGGTCACATGGTGACACGTGTGCAGCGCTCCACACACGCGTGCACACACACAGCAGGGTGCTCTCACGTGGTGATGCACGTGGACCTGGGTCTCAGGAGTACGATAATGATCTTTTCTCAGGCATACGTGGCATCTGTGGCCATGCCTTGGAGCGCAGAGCCAAGAGATCTGCTCCAGGGAGCCCGTCGGAACTGCCGGGACAGGCAGGGGGGCCTGCGGCTCCTCTGAAAATCGTCTCTTTGTGTGGGTTCCTTGTGTCAAAACCAGCTCCCCCGGTTCTACTGGAGATGACCCACGTGCGATTTCCCTGGTTCTGGAGGACCACATAAAGGAAGCATCACTGAATATCTTTAGGGTGAGTGGAGCCACCCAGCGGTCCAAAGGCCCAGCCCACTTCCGGACCCCCGAATTCTCCCCCACGTCCTTCCGGGTCCAAACTCCTGCCATTCCAGTGTCTATCAGGACCAGGCTTGTGTGGCAGGAGTAAGGACTTGTCCCTGCTTCTCAGAGGGAGGCCCAGGCCAACCCAGGCATCATCATGGACTGTGGCTCCTACCTTAAGGGTGGGGATGGGGGAGGGGGTGGCCCACCGTGTGATGCTGCGGGCTGGCATCTGCTCCGCTCTGATTTAGGGCATGGCCAGCGGGGCAGAGAGTGGTCCCCCCAAACTCCTAGGACCTCAGGCCCTGCTCATCAGGGACTCCAGTGCAGCCGAGGCCCAGCATGGCCCCCACGGAGCACCCTGGCATTTCAGCTGGCAGAGAGATGTCTGGGAGGAAGCTGGGCTGGCTGGGCCCCGGTCCCCAGCCTGCACCATGGCCCTGGGAGCTGTTGTGTGAGATGGAAGCACTGTCCCTCCCTCATCAACAAGGTTACTTCTCCCAACCAACATACACACAGCGAGGCCAGATGTCAGCCATCTATCTATCCCCCCAGTCTCCCTTCCTCCTGCATCTCAAAGGCCCCGTGTCTGCAGAAGATAAATCCCAAGGACGTAGCCTCTCGACCAGAACCCAAATCAAAATCACCATCTTTTATCCAAGGATGACCATCAGCCTGCCCTCAGAGTGGTCCACCGCAGAGCACGATGGGTCCGCGGGCCAGAAGCTGGCCTCCGTGGGCCTCCATTTGCTGGGCTCCAGACAGAGCCAGGCCTGCGTCATCACACATGGAGGCAGCCAAGCTCTCCTGAAGTCTCACTCAGGACCACGGTCAGCAGAACTCGCAGCTTTAAAGGGAAGGTGCTCCGAACCTGGAGCCAGAGTATCTCTGTGCAAGCCCCGCTGTGTGACCCTGGGCAAGCTGCTCAACCTTTCTGCACCCGCCTCCTCAGCTAGATCTGCATCTTTCTGAGGGCCGGTTTAAGTCTGGGGGAGCTTGCTCAAAGGGCTGAGCCCCATGCTTGGTGCACTTGAGCGACTCAAAAGAAAGGCACTGCCTGACCTTCCCTGAGAGAAGGCCTTCCCGGCTGCCCAGGGCTGAGGACTGTCCAGCAGGGAAGAGGCGGGTCTCGGCGAGGACAAGAAGACAGAGAAGCTGCCTCCAACACAGTGGCGGTGCCGGGTGCAGGGGAGTAAGGGAAGGCCGCCTGCTGCCCTGGATGGAACCAGTTCTGATCAGGGGACTGTGGAAATCCTGGAAATCACCATTTCTAGTCACTCATGCTCAGGTGCAATTCCTGACCCAGAGCCTTGGTCCAGGGACATGTACACTCATACCCATGTTGTGCCCACACACACATACCTATACACATGTCCCATATGCATGTATTCACATGTATGCTCATGCCCTCACATATGCATGCATGTGCAATGCACAGATGCATGTATACATAAATCTACGTGTGGACATATTATACACACATGCATGGGCGTATGCACCTGCAAGCATGTATACATATGCACACATGCATGCATATGTGAACATGTGTAAACTCTCGAACATGCGCTGTATATACATGTGCAACATACATGTGGACACCCATACCCGTGCATGCACAGATGTGGGTACCTACACAAACACAGTGTACTTACATGCAGACAACCAACACACATGTATACTGTGCGCACGCACATGCAAACACACTCACAGCCTATGTGGACACTCATATACACGCTTACACGTGCATACACCCAGCCCTGAGGACACACTGCAGATGCACGAGGTGGTCGTTTCATCAGAGGAGGGGTAAGATGGTGTGTGTAAATGAGGCAGAGAAGGGAATCAAGGACACCGCCCGCCCCTGGCCCCGTGCCCGCCACGTGACCGGAGGGCTGTGATCAGCCAGGAGAAGGTGGTTGAAGATCCTACTGAGGAATCGGCAGTGACGGGCAGGTGTCCCCCCACCATGGATTCACCCCGCTGCGGCCCCCTAGTCCTTGAGTCCTCCTCGATGCCCACGCCCTCTCTGCTCTGCTCGCCTGAGTCCTGCTCGGAGACCCCCAGGCACAGCTTGCCGCCCCTTCCCCGCTCTGCAGGCTCGGGCACAGACGCCAGCCACTGCAGACCCACGAGGAGCGAGCTCCTGCCTTCCCTGAGGCATCTGCACAGTACAAACCACGCTAACTCAGCCGCCAAGGAGAGATAGAGGCTGTACCCGGGTCTCTGCTCCGAGTTCTTCCACGCTAAAATGAAATCTTTGTGTGGGGTCACCTGAAGTTTTGCTTTAAAAAAAATGGTACTTTCAAAAAAATATATTGCACTAAAAATGATCCTTGTGATGTCCCTGGTGGTCTGATGGCTAAGACTCTGAGCTCCCACTGTAGGGGGCCTGGGTTCCACCCCTGGGCAGGGAGCTAAATCCCACAAGCTGCAACTAAAGATATCACAGAGGACAACCAGCATTTTGAGTGCAGCGCCTTAAGAGCCAGTGCAGTCAAATAAATACATGTTTTAAAATAGCCCTTTCGGTAGATTCTGAATGCAAATGGTCTTTCCTCTAGATTACATGGAATAATAAGGATGATATATTACAACGTCCTCTTAGTATCATCCAGCCTCCATTGTTAAAGATCACGAATTACTTCTGTTTTCACTTTGCAGAGTCTAATACAGTGACCACAAACACTGTTTCTTATGTATAGTCATTGATGTATAATTATTTATAAATTATTAAATATAAATAAATATTAAATTATTAAATATAAATTATTCCTCCAAGCAGGCTTGACGGGTCTTCCAGTTCTTAGGCCCTTGATGGATGGCCTGACACTGGGGAGGGAACTTCTCTGGGAATTGATGGCCTCTCATTTATAGCTTTACATGGAAAAACTATGGCTGCATCTCTGGCCCATGAGATATAAGTGAAAGTCTGCTGGTGGGGCTTCCAGGAAATCTTCACTTTCCTGATACAAAGGGACAAACAGAGTTTGTGTAAGCCTCCGTCTCCTTCCTTTCCCCAATTATCACAGCTGGAATATGTGCATGATGCCTGGAGTTCTGCAGCCCTCTTGAAACCATGAGGTGATGGACAAGCATCAGATGGAAAGCTCACGCTGTAAGGATGGCAGAGGGCTGGATGTACTCCACTGCTCCTCCAGACTCACTGTCCACTCACCTGCACTCGGCTCAGCGCCCTAAGATGTTGGCTTGTGTTGGGCTCAGGGCTTCCTTACCCTCTGGCTTTCAGTTGTTTCATTCAAAGAGGAAGTTGAGAGGCACCCCTGGGACAGTGGAGGCGGGCAGGAAAGCCAGGTTAGTTTCTTGCTCCCCCTTGGCTGTGTTCCTTTTCTGGAAGCCACAGCTCCTTTCCAACAGTCCTCCAGTTGTTGCTGCCACAGCTGCAAACCTTTCCATGTTCGGCTTACAGCCCCTGCCTCACCCCACCAGGCTGGAGATAGGAACACCTGCTTCTGCACCCATTTCCCCAAGCCCTTCCCACCCTGTGTACAGGAGATCAGGCTTGCTTCTGTCTCCTCACCCACTGAGAGTGCCATCTTCTTTAGCTTTCTTTTTTTTTTGGTGGAGACCCTGGGGGAAGCTCAGAAAGAACAGTGCTGAGACCCCACAGCATTGTTGAGCCTTAGGCTGATCCTGCACGGTCTCCTACAGACCTCATGCCAGGGGATGGACCAGCAAACCGTCATGATCTCGATCACTCAAGTGTGGTATGCTCACACCTGCCACTGAACGCACTCCCAGCTAATCCACCAACAGTATAATAAGATGGGCTTCTCAAGGGGACAGCCTATCAGGGAGTGGAGCTACATTTACAAGCAATAAAGCTATTTGGGGAATTTCCCTGGAGGTTCGGTGGCTGAGACTCTGCACTCCCCATGCAGGGAGCACGGGTTTGATCCCTGGTCAAGGAAGTAGGTCATGCATGCTGCAACTAAAGATTCCACATGCCACAAGTCAGTCCCGGCATTGTTGATTTAATTAATTAATTAATTAAAATAAGCAAGAAAGAAGTGAAGCTATTTTGAGGACTTCCCAGGCAGTCCAGTGGCTAAGGCTCCATGCTCTCAATGCAGGGGGCCTGGGTTCAGTCCCTGCTTGGGGAAATAGATCCCACATGTCAGAACTAAAGATATTCCACAACATATTCCACAACTCAAACCTGGCGGAGTCAAAGTAATTAATTTTAAAACAATGAGAACAAGCAAATACAGCTCTTTTTATAGGAGTTCTACCAAAAAGGAGGACAACGGGGGGCATGGAGGAGGCTGATGAGGGGACTGTCACAGATGAGAGGCCAGATGTGAGTGTCTCAACAGAGGGACACCGCGGGCCGGCCCTGCACGGTAAGCACACGTGGAGACAAGCTGGCAGGCAGGCGGCTTCCCCATCCCCCCGCCGGGTCCCTCTCAGCCCCAGCTGGCGGCATCTGGGGCAACTAGGGCAGGGTGGGCATGTGTATTGGGACAACAGCCAGGTGGCTTGGGCCGCAGCGACAGGCACTGCTAAGGCGACAGACCCCAGCCCAGAGAGGTCCTAGCAGAGGAGTGGCTTCCTGGGGAACGGACAGAATTATGTGGGGCGGGTACCCTGGTAAAAGGCCGCCCCTCCTGCCGTCATAGGATACACGCGTGCTCAGTGGTGTCCGACTCTTTGCAATCCCATGGACTGTGGCCAACCAGGCTCCTCTGTCCATGGGATTCTTCAGGGAAGAAGACTGGAGTCGGGGGCTTCCCTGATGGCTCAGGGGTAAAGAATCTCCCTGCCAACGCAGGGGGACATCGGCTTGATCCCTGGTCCAGGAGGATCCCACCTGCCCCGGAGCGACAAAGCCTGTGAGCCACAGGTATTGCGCATGCGCTCTGGAGCCGGGGAGCCACAACAACCGAGTTCACGCGCCAGGACTCCTGAAGCCCGTGCACCTAGAGCCTGCCGTCCGCAACAGGAAACACCCCTGCAGTGAGAGGCCGACACACACCGTAACTAGAGAGTAGCCCCCACTCACCGTCACTAGGAGCAAAGCCCGCGCAGCAACAAAGACCCAGCACGCTCAGAAGCAAATAAAATTATTAATAAAAAAAAAAATACTGGAGTGGGCTGCCACTTTCTTTTCCAAAGGAGCTTCCCAACCCAGGGATGGAGCCCACGTCTTCTGCGTCTCCTGCGTCGGCAGGCGGATGCTTCACCACTGGCGTCGTACATGCTCTGCACTTACTATGCTATTTAGCCAAGTAAGGAAGTTGGTGACGCAGGCTGGAGAAGCTGTGGATATTTGGGCTCCTGGGATCACAGGTGTGGTGTAGTAGTTCACTGAAAAGAAGCTTTGCAAAATGAACTTTTACAAAAGTCAAAACCCTTGGTTAAGATATTTCTCCAAGGGAATGAATGGATTTGGCCCTGGGAAGAGCCTCAAGCCGACTGGAAGAAGGGATAAAAGCA